AATATAAAGTAAAAGTGAATATTTTAGTAGATTCAGGTATTTTATTATTCATAATATATAAGAAAACAAATTCATTATTGATCTATAAATGAATTTCAAGAAAGCATAAATAATCAACAATACTGCAACACTTATGCTTTAGCACTTCAAGAATCATTTATACACTACTCCCCTATATACAAACCTTGTCAAATACTTTCTGCTACATCAAACTTATCTATAAATACTTTAATATTATTATCATCAATCATTTTTTATCCATTATTCTAACCTGTCATCTTCAATTCTTAATTATTTGAAAAATTATAGCATCATAAATTAAATCAATCTACTTTATTTGATTTTCAGATCTGCATATTAATGTAAAATATATAAAATATTATATCCCATATATTTCATTGATAATCTTTGTTGATTACAAAAGTAGAAATAAGTATACATATAAATTCTATAAAGATTTTCTTTTTATTATATGCTATTATTTTAATTTAAGGTAATAGATAAATTGCCATCAATTTATAAGTAATCAAAAAAAAAAAAACAAATAAATTAATAAGATTGGAATTAAATATCATAATTTAAGCATCTAGATTTCATAATTTACATAATTTAAATTATTGAATAAAAATGCCATTCAGAAAATAATAAATTGATAGAAATAACAATATGACCTACAAAAAATCTTTGAAGATTCCTTAAGAAAATGTATTATTATTATATTTATTGAACTAATTTAGATCTTATATTATTGTTACCGATTTGAACTACGTTTAGATTGGATTGTGGATATATTGTTTTTTTCAACTAATATTTATCAAACAACCATATATATTTTCATTATCATCATTCTCCTCTATACTTTTTTAATTTTTTATTTTCATCAATCAAATTTTACATTTTTGAAGTTTGCATCTTTGATTCATCATTTAAATTATTATGTAATAGTTACTCATTCATTTATAATTCCTTATTTTTCTCTTTATCTCCTAGAATTTGCGTAACAGTTATAAATTATCAGATTTATGGAGAAAAAACATAATCTTTATTTTTGGATTTATAATTTAAATGATGATTTTAAAATCCCTAATATTGCTATTGTGTTTAAATTTTCATTAAAACATAATTAAAATTTATAAAATGGTTATTCCTAATCGAATAAAAAATATTGAAGAGCTCTGAAAAGAAAGGAAAGGGGGATAGCATCAATCTGTGGTTGTTCTATGACAAGAACTGTTTTTTAAATTTATTGGATTCTAATATAGGTGAAATAATTAATATACATTAAACTTTATCTACCTTTTGGGTTAAAGGAACCATTTTTCAAATCCAGACAAGTTATAAGATATAATTGAAAGTAATGAAGAAACTAGTGAGAACTCTGAATACTGCCTATTCACACTACTGAAAAAGGAGTTGAGGTGGATGAACATGATGGAAACTGAGACGAGGAGATTAAAAAATATTCATAAGGGTGCTTGTCACTGATGCACCAACAAAACATACATTAATCAATATTTAATATTAAATTTTAATGATTACAAACAGAAATTTAAATACTATTACCTTTGTTCTTAATATTTAAAATTATTGATAGATCAGAATTAATTAGATTAACTTATAATAAGCTTTTACATTGCTGAACAGTAATTACAACTAATCATTCATCTTTTCTTGCTTATCATCATCATAAATTGGAACAAAATATCAAACCATCCTGCAAATAAGAAGATTTTTCAATTCTCATCTTTTCATTATTTTGCTTTTTTTAATTCAAGTCTAATGAGAGATGAAGGATATTATTATTAAAAACTTCTTTCCTTGCTTTTAATTTTTTTCCATCTTTTCATATTCTTAAATTAATTTATCTAACTTTCCTTAAAAATTTTATAAAGACTTAGGAATATTTAAGCTATGCTTTGGCATTTCAATAAAGGTAGTGTAATTACACCTAATATTTGAAAATGTTTTCTGGTGGAATTTCCTTGCTGCTTAAATCCCTTAACTTAATTTTAAATTAATTTAATTCAAATAATGATCATTTAATTAAATATGGATATTTTTTACAGTTTATTAGACTTCTAATTATGAAATTAAGATAAAGCAACTGAAATAAAATACTTAGATTTGATTTTTTAGTTAATCATAATTTACAACATAAGGGATCCACTATTATAAGTTTATTCTTATTGTACTGAAAGTGCATTTAACAAAATTTTCATTTAGTTTTAAAATAATTGATAATATTCTTATGAATTTATTTTTTTT